TTTCTAACAGGTTAATGTGAGATTCGGTGTGAAATTCGCCACATAAACAAGAACAAACAGTGCAGCACTGAATGTAGTGTGTGTTGTTGAACTCTCGCAGGGTGAGTTTCTGTCCTTTTCCTTCATATTCATGCAGTTTGTGAGCGCAAACATACCAGCACTCTTCTGATTCTGCTGGAGCTGATTCAGCTTCCTCCATTTCAAGCATGCACACAAAAGTTACTTGAGTGCTGACAGCGCCCCCTTCTGGAGAATCTTCAGACTGGAAAACTCAGAGAGACTTTAAAAGCCCCCATTCATTCTGAGCACAGAGAAACGGAGCTCAGAGCCGGAGTTCCTACTCTGGGCAGAACGCGGACCACAGGATGACGCGCAGCTACAGCGCTTCATGTAAACCATATAAGGCTTTAGTGCTGACTTCATAGTATCAGCCCCTGGTGGCGCAGTAGAGAGGCCGCGCTAACTTCGTGTCCGTTGGCTTGGGCGATGGTTCGAATCCCGCCCAGGCTCACATGACGGATCGGAGGTGGTCGGCCCGTCCTCGCTAACCGGGGTGCTGTGTTTTGCAAAAACAAACAAACAAACACGCTTATTAACTTTCCTACATCTCTTATTCAGTCACTTCACCTACCAAACGGCAGTGTTATTCATTTTAAACATGTTGCCGAAACTCAGTAAAAACACCGTTTATATTCCTGGTTCTGTAATCAGTTCACCAGGACCCTTATTTTGGAATCCAACACCGACACAGACCTGATCCAGGCGTCCGGCTCTAAAAGCTCCTCATAGAATATTATTATATGAAATCGTTATGAATCCTCACTCTGATGTCTGACACACTGTTTACGGTAGTTTATGATACAATTTCGGTCTAAAACGTACACTCTTAGATTAATGTGTCATTTTTTCTACACATCCACTGTGTCATGAGTATTCTAACACATTCTGTGCTATTTCTGAATACACTGAACACATACATGTGTAATATAAATTCAGAGTTAGTCTACACATTTATGTGTTGATTCCTGAGAAAATAAATTTGTGATTTTTTTTTACTTAATGAAACTTGCATGTGTTGTGTAAAAATGAGAAATCGTGTTGTATCTAGAAATATAAACTACATACATAGATACATCATCTAAACCGCTTATCCTTCTGGGTCGCGGTGGGGTGCTGGAGCCTATCCCAGCTGTCATTGGGCGGAAGGCAGGACACACCCTGGACAAGTCGCCAGTCCATCGCAGGGCAATATATATAAACAATTTACTATACTAATAACAGGATGTTTTCTTTACAACTGAATGTGATGCTTGTATTATCTGCTGTATCACAAATGTATTGGGCCTCTTAAAAAAAACGTAAGTAAATGCTTCAAAATTGGGTTAATGCAAAAAGGTTCACTGTGTTGGTGCTTTTGTTTTTGTATTAATTAGTTATCCATCCACTACTGACAAGGAGGGTCTAGCAAAGAGTATCGTCACTGTCTTTCCATCCCTGAGAGTCCAAGTAGATGGGAAAGGAGAAGGATTTGTGAGTATCTGGTTTGGATTTTTGGTTGAAAGATGTGCACAGATGACTTCTACATGCCTAATATTAGGTTAGGCAAGGGATCAAACCTGCTTTTTATGGACACTTCTGCATACGTTTAGGTAAATTAGCATTATCTTGCCTTTAGAATGCAGTATATTACTGTTGCACATGTAATTCACATTTTTTAGTTTATGTTGTGATTATGTGTGAACTAAAGGCATGTTTCTGTCTCGCATCAAATAAAACTGCTCTTCAAGATGAGGTTGCACTAAATTGTATTTACTTAAGTTTCTTAAAAGTATAAAATTATAAATTTTATATGTTTAAAGAAACATTTAAGGTTTAAGATTAGCTCTAATAGCAGTGCCACTAGGAGCAGTCGTTGAGACGCAGGCATAGAGCGAGGTCAAAAAGTCTAAGACCACGTTGAAAAGTTGATCATGTTTTTCTTTTAAACCTGAAAATAAACAACAGAAAGTATTAAAATTTTGCTGAAATTAAAACAAAGAAAAGCTGTGTAGTGAAGAAGAAATATTTGAGCTTGTGAACCATTTCTCAGTTGTTATTTAAATTTAAACAAATTTGTGACATTGACCCTGTTAAGGCCTTTGTAGAAATTGAAGCTTCAGAAACTCTCAGGTGGATCTGATGTACATATCAGTCTTTCACACAAACTTGTATGGCAGCTCGAATGTAATTAAAGCAAATGCGGAACATGCTGTATCAAATACTAAGAAATTCTGAAATGCATGTTTAAATAAGGTAAGATTCTAATTTTTATGTTAGTAATATGATTTGTAGTGAAACCATTGAATAAAAATCACTGCGGTTTTTAGTATTATTTTTGTTATGTGATATTTTTTATATGTGGTTCTACTGGTTTTGTTTTGTCTGTTCCAACCTACTAAATCTCAGAAAAAAAAAATATTGTGATGCATATTGTGTATCGTGAAAATGTCTTGCAGTATTGTGATCATGGCCATATTGCCCACTCTTAACCGCAAATGTGAAACGTAGTTCCTGGTGAGTGTCAATACTAAAGAGTATAGCATTTTGTGTCATTTAACACACCTAATTTAACTCAGCAAATTCCAATTTTCTACATCATTTCAGCTCAGCAGCTGCTGTTTACATTGTGAACCGACAGAAATTCTCCAAAGTCACTTGGAACAAAATCGCTTACATTAACTTGAATTAAAATTAAGAACGTTTTTGCCTTCTCCTGCAAAGTTACTATTTTTGAAGATACATATTTTTCTTTGGACAGCAATGATACGTTAACATAGACTTTTTCTTTTTTTTTGTAAAGCTTGATGCAGAGCTTGATAAAATGCATGAAGGAAGGGGAGACTTGTTCATAAGACGTTGGGAGGCTACCATCATTCCCAAGTTGCTGTCTTGGAAAAGGGTGATGTTGCATCTCTAATTGAAGAGATGGAAGACCAGACTGAAGGTATCCGTTTTCACATGCACATGAAATCCTAAATTCTTTGTGTAAATTAATTATTGGTTAAGAATTTGAACTTTTCTGGCCTATGTGTCTATTATTCTCATTTTTAGATGAGATGTGCTATGCTATGCTGGTAGTACTCACTCATCTCCTGCCTCCGGTCGCAGTGAGTCGCTGTTGTGTGAAGTCTGCAATAACGTACCTACTTGATTTTGTACCGGTAGGTTTGTCAGCATTTTCAACAGCTTTTGAATTAATCATATTGCAGTGTACTCCTCTATGACTCAACTTCCACATGAAGGCTATTGTAATTAGCTGAGAGTTAAACCAAGTGTGTTAAATGAGGCAAATTGCCAAACTGCAGTGCTGTGGCCCTCTAGGACTGAAGTAATTTAATGTAATAAAACATTACATATTCGGTGATCATGTATGTAGTGGGCCTATGTTAAAACACTCAGTGATGCTGCCAAACTGAGCTTTGATTTTGTGTATATTTGCCTCCTAGGCTGGAAGCAGCATAGCTTCCCTCTGTGATTCACGGACTTCATCACAGAATTTTCAGGTTTTAGTGCACAGTTTCTATTTATTTGCTGAGTTTAATATTTTTGGGGAAAGAAACGTAAAATGTGATGTTGCTTTTGCGCGGGCCGCATTGTGTGCACCTCTTGCAGCACGTAACAGTAACTGTGCATTGAAATGTGTAAAGCGTGTTCTCTGTAGAGGATGTGTTAACTTATTCACACTCAACACGCGTCATTTGACCGAGGTGCCAAAACTTTTGCATAAATTAGACTGTGGAATTAAAACTGAATCGATAATTAGGAGTAATTAGGAACAGTTCAGTTGCTAAGAAGGAAAAACTGAACGGCTCTTTTGTGGAAGCTAATAGCCAATCAATTAGCATGTCTGCATTTGCACAGTGCAAACTAGTGCTAGTACTGAACTGAACCATTGGCTGTTAGCTTGCACTCATGGTTTATTAGCCATGTTAATATATTTCTTTAATAAACACTCTGATTCTTGTTCACTTGCCAAGTATGAATGAAAGCAAACATCTCCTCTGTGGAAGCTAATAGTTAGCATGACTGCATGTCGCTGCTGTCGGAAGAAAACCTCGTATCTCCATTTTTGTCGTTTTTCAGTTTTTGACATAATCTGAAAATGCCCTTTGCATTTGTGTATAAATTTCATGATGAACTGACCATAAGGAATGGCCCCAAAGTACTTGGAAAAAATTCTGGTTCCATTGACTTACATTAAAAGTAATGTATGTTTTTTTTCCTTTTCCTGTAAAGTTAATATTTTGGAGATATGAGGTTTTCTTCCGACAAAAGCGATATGCACAATGCAATCTTGTGCTAAACCATCGCTGAAAAAACAGCACAGCTGGTCTAGTGCTGGTCTGATACTGGTTGATGCTGGTTTAGCTGATCTTCCAATTGGCTAATGCTGGTTGGTCAGCATACCAGCATCGAAACAGAATATATACTGGTTTTACTGGTGACCAGCCATTCTGGTCTATGCTGTTTTTTTCTAGCAGAGCTGTGCAATTAAAAAAGTGTGAATATTGGCTTGTGTTCACTGTCTGTTAGCCACGTTAGCATGTTTGTTCAGGCTATTCCTCTAATAAACTTACACTCTCATCCTTGTTCAGTTGCTAACGAAGAATGTAAGTGAAAAGCTCTTCTGTGGAAGCTTATAGTCACCAGTTAGCCTGAATTAACTCACACAGTGCTAACAGGGCTAAATTAACTATCCAAAAAATGTGAATTGAATTGAATTTATCTAGTGGCTAATAGCTTGTATTCCTTTTTAGGCACGTTCACACGTTTTCTTAAACTATTGCTTCAATTAAATTCAGTTAACACTCTGATTTCTTTTAAGTTATTATTAGTGGAAGTGAAAAGCTAATAGCCACCAGCAAACATGACAGCATTTGTATAGTGTCTTGAAGTTGCTTGTAGCTCATCTGTTTTGGCATGTTTTTTCAAGCTTACACTCGTTCTTGTCCCCACTTAAGCATTTATATGTTGACCGTCTCGTCCCAGCCAGTAGGGGGCACAACAGAGACGCTATGTGTTAATGTGTACCCCCTTCAAAAACCACTATCATTGATGGTGACGCTGGAACACAGCCAAAACAGCAGGATGCTCCTGAAGCAGAACGCCATCAAAAAAGACTTCTATCAGTGCCTTCCCTTCAAGGTCAGTAACGGTCATAGCCCACTATGAAGACTCAACATTTTACCAGCATGTCCTTCATATCAAAATAGAATAAGCTGCAGTGTTAGAAAGGGTTCTCCAAGGTTCTTTGGGAAAATAAATAGCTATATATAGAACCATTGTGTTTTTTTTTGCATGGTTATCTGGTTCTTATCTATGATGGGAAGCCTGCTGTACAGTCGTATGCGAAAGTTTGAGCACCCCTGGTCAAATTACATGTTGATTTTTTAAGTGAACACATCCTCTACAGAGAACACATTTAAAATGCACATTTAGCAAGATGTGGCCTGTGCAAAAGTTATGGCACACTCTGTATTTTATGTTTTGCTTTTTTAAATTGTGTTAAACTCAGCAAATAGACAAAAACTGCACACTTAAACTGGATGTGTTAACAAGGCATGTCATTTTCAACCTTAAAGAAATTTAAAGAAAGTCATAGGAAGTCACAGAAGTGCAGTGTAGAAGCCTTTTTTTTGCTTAGAGTGTGAACAGAAAATTTTGTAATACACACAAACACACCGATCAGGCATAACATTATGACCACCTCCTTGTTTCTACACTCATTGTCCATTTTATCAGCTCCACTTACTATATAGATGCACTTTGTAGTTCTACAGTTACAGACTGTAGTCCATCTGTTTCTCTGCATACTTTGTTAGCCCCCTTTTACCCTGTTCTTCAGTGCTCAGGACCCCCATGGACCCTCACAGAGCAGGTACAATTTGGATGGTGGATCATTCGCTACTTTTAATGTAAGTCAATGGAACCAGACTTTTATAATATTATAATAATATCACAATATTATGGTACCGTTTTTGCATTGTCTAAACAATTTTTGTGATGATTAACTTCTTTGTAGTTTTCAATGCCCTCCATATGGACCGGACTCCATTACCCACTCCTATCCCTGCTTTAATATTTGTTTATTCACACTGCATCGTGATTTTGCTGGTATTATTCTTTCACTGACTTTGCTTTTTAATAGGTCAATAACTCAATTTCCAAAATGCTTAAAGGGCTCATGCCCTACATTTTTCCTGTGTGTAATCCCCCCCCCCTTGGGGTCCAATCATGACGTGTGTTTTATGTACCAAAGCAGCATAATTCATTTTTAAACTGAACATGTTTCTACCTCTCCTAAAACAGGCCGCTGTGGTGCCTTTAAGACTGATGTATGTAAATGAGCTCTGTTTTGATTGGCTGGCCTGTATTGCGCCACATTCTAGCTTAATAAAGCTGAAAGGGCGGAGCTGAACTACTGTAGGCCTAATAAGCTGAAACATACAAATGAGTTAGATATTATGACATCACAAAAACACTGAATTAAAAATTTTGAAAATTAAAGTTGAAATAAGAAACTGGGATGTGAATGATACAGATTCAAGTTTTAGCAACATTCATACAACATTTTAAACTCCTTTATATTAATTAAAAGAGAATAATTAGATTTTTTCTGATATGGGCCTTTTAAGCATTATATGTAAATGACCACTGGCACTGACTGTAAACCTTGAACTTCCCTTTCTTACACATTTATCATTTTTTGACTGTGTTTCTGCTCTTCTGCAGGTTCCTGATGTAAACGTTGAGTCGGAGGCTTCCATTAACGTTCAGATCAGTGGAGAAGGTACGTTTCTGAACAAGACCACGAAGATCCTCATCAGACCTCCTGCTCAGTTGACCATCATTCAGACAGACAAACCCATCTACAAACCTGGACAAACAGGTAACTCAAGAAAACCAGCTGCCATATTAATTTATTTTTTTGCACAATTTGAGAAGCAGCCAGGCGTTTTTTACATCATGTGAATGTTTCATGATGAACAGACGGATCTAAACACACATTTGAGCACAATATTTTATAGTAACATGCAGTAAAATTACAAAATCAGTTTCCTTCCCTGTTACTCTTTTAGAGATATGAGGTTAAAGGGGAATTTCCGCATAATGAAATAGTTAAAACATGGCTTGGCTTTATTTGTGTTGTAGTCATGGCGACCCCTAGTTCCTATCACCACCACTGTAAAGAAATCTGAGTCTCTACAATTTCATATCAAAGCATTCTGAATGACTCTGTTTACACATCAAACACTGAATTATGCCGAGAATTTGAAAAATTGGTGGAATTCCCCTTTATAAAAAAGCTGCTCCACCTTCTTTTTGATGGTTACAAGTAATGTATGTATTTTTCTCCACAGTCAGATTCCGAATCGTCTCTCTGGATTCCAGTTTTCTCACCTACGAGCAGCAGGTACGACGACTCCAGTCATTTCTTTAATGTATTTTGCACTGTAAACTAAACTGTGCACAGAGAGTAACACACTATACTGCTGATTATAAACGCTTTTCTTTCTTTTTCAGTTCCCAACAATAGAGCTGCAGGTATGGTGCAGTCATCAACTCTACAAGCCTTCAGACTCTATAATCCATCTATCTATGTTTCATTTTGTCTTTTTTTATTAACTTTTGCTTTTTTCAACCTTCAGATTTGATGCTTAAGCACTTTAAGATGCTACATTTACATGAACATGTACACGAGCTGCTCTGTGAATTGATGATGATAATGATTAATATTATTATTAAATTTTAATTTTAAATAATTTTAAAGGTTGTTGCAGTGTTCTTGCTAAATGTGATTCACTGTTTCTGGAGGTTTTGAAGACTGTAGCTTGTGTTATTTATATATATATATGTATATATATAAATATATATATGTATATATATTTATATATGTGTTATTTATATATATATATATATATATACTCTATAAATATATATATATGTTTTTAGGACCCTAACTTCAACCGTATTGGTCAGTGGCTGAACCAGTCGACGGTCAGCGGCATCCTGGATCTGTCCTATCCCATGAACACAGAGGCCCAACAGGGGTCTTACATCATCACTGCCTGGAACGAGAAAAACGAGGCGACCAGCCAAGACTTTGAAATCAAGGAATACGGTCAGACCGAGAAATGAGCTTCATTATTCAGATGTTATGTGTTTAATTATCACAATGTCCCATTTTATTATAAGGAATTATTTATTTTTTATAATTTTGTTATAAACATGTATATTAATATTACATTTCAGAATTATAGTTCAATATCTAACATACATTATGTAATATCTACTCTGAATCATTCAGTCACTAATGAAAATTATTCAATATTTATGTATTATTCAGTATCTACTATGAATTATTCACTATCTACTGTGAGTTATTCAGTATCTGTGTATTCTTTGGTATCTACTCTGAATTATTCAGTATATTACTATTAATTATTCAGTATCTAACTATGAATTATTCAGTCCCTCTTATGAATTATTTAGGATATACTATTAATTATTATGTGTCTGCTGTGAATTATTCAATATCTACTACAAATAATTTAGTGTCTACTATGAATTATTTAGTATCTATTATAAATTATTTACTATCTACTATGAATTACTCAGTAGCTTCTGTGAATTATTTAGTATCTACTATGAAACTGTTCCAAAATTAGTGTAAAACCACAGCTTTATGTGTTGTTTTTAAACAATTTAAGGGATTCCTTATAAAATAATATTTGTCTGTTTATTAATTTAGTTTCTTCTAAATTATGTTTGCCCTCTTTTGCAGTTCTACCAAAGTTTGAGGTGATTGTCAAGCTTCCTCCAGTCGTAACGGTTCTGGACAAGCAGGCCACTCTGAATGTTTGTGCCAAGTAAGTGATATTTAAAGTGGCCCAAATGAACTAAAACACCTGCCATCATAAATTTATTTTGTTGCTGTGTGTTCCTAAAACCCAAAACCTAACCTTAATGCTAACCTCAAGACTAAGCCTACACCTACTCCTAAACCTGACCCTAACCTTAATGTTGTTTATAAATCAACTGAGTATCACCAGAGAGTTTGATATTAAAGTAAGTATCATCTACAGGGGACCATCCAAATATAGTGTGACCAAAATATTAAAGCCATGCCGTGATTTCGTTTCAGACAGGTTTAGTTTCTAAGTTGTTAAAGGAAATTGTGGGATGCACGACGCAAGACTGGACTGAGTTTCTTTGGCACTAAAACTGTATCATGTTATAAATGCTGTTTACATAGGTATGCAAAAGTTTGAACATCCCTGGCCAAAATACATGTTTTGTGAAAATAAGTCAGCACATCCTCTAGAGGGCACACACAGCATTTTTCTGCTAATTGTAGTGTACAGTTTCTATTTTTCAACACATTGGGAAAAAATATAACATATAAAATGTGCCAGAACTTTTGCACAGGACAAGTTTGTTAGATCCCCCCCCAACATCTGTTATGTTAGAATCAGTGCATTCAAATGTGCAGAAGTGTGTCTCTGTAGAGGACGTGTTCACTTATTTACACTTAGAAAATCAATAAATACACGGAATTTGACTGCCCAAACTTTTACATACAACTGTTTTAAGCGTTACATTAACAACTTATAATGCGTAATAAACATGACTATAAAATGTTGTTATTATTTTTACATTTAATATTTATAGCCATGTTTGAAATCCCTCCTCAGTACTCTTTAATATATGATGTATGTGTTCTGTGAGATTCTTTTGGACGTGCTAGTTGCTGCAGTGGTCAGTGGTGATATGTTCGTTACTCCTGTTGTACCTTTTTTGTTTCCTATGCTGGCAGCTATACGTATGGGAAGCCTGTGAGTGGCTCCGTGAAGGCGGAGGTGTGCCGTAAACGCTTCACCTTCTGGTGGATCAGGCCTGAAAACAATCAGACAGCCTTGGACATCTGCAAAACATATTCTATGACGGTGAGTCAACAAAGTTATACCTGCAGACAAAATTTCAGAAGAGAGCTCTGAAAAAATATTTCTAAACCATTTATGCAACTTTTGATAAGAACCCGGTTTGAGGAAATCTGCATGCTTTTCTTTATTGTGATGCTATTGTTATTATTATTATCTACTTGATAAAGAACTGAAGAATTCATTGTATGTAGTTTTTTTTCAAAAAGAGTTATATATAGCACCAAAAAGGAGTCAGAGAACCTGTTTTGGTGCTCTATACGCTGTTAGAAATAAAGGTTCTGTGCAGGTACATTTTTTATTCATTAAGATAAAAACATTGTAAATGTTCCCTCAAAGGTACAACAGTGGTTTTAAGGTCTGATTGTGAACCTTAAATAAGTTTATCCAGGTGAAGAGTTTGTATTTGTGCCTTTTCATAACCGAATGTTTTAAAACAGAACAGTAAAATAAAACCCTGGAGACGAGACGGGGTGTGTGGAGTCAGTACAGCTTAGAACATATCATTTCAGTGGATTATGGTTCAGTTATGTTCCCTGACTAAAGGTACTGAGATGGACCCTTGAGGGAACCACCCCAGTGACAGTTTACTACCTTTTTTTCTGAGAGTGTAGCTTATAATATATTTTACAGTGTATTTTATAGTGTATATGTATACGCTAGTGAAGTACCTACACTTGTGGTGTAGTATTAAAAAAATGCATTATATATGTCAATGTGCTGGACATTCTGCTCTCGTTTTTTCTCAGACTGATAAGACGGGCTGTGGATCTACTGTTGTGAATCTGATGGAGTTCGCAGTGACTGAAACACAGTATGAAGACGTTGTTAGTGTGGTGTGTGAGGTGGAGGAGTATGGCACTGGTAAATTCTCCTCAACATCACTCTGCTTAATGTCAGTAATGAATAAATGAGCTCTGATTGAACACAGATGTCTAACAGTTCTGTGTTCCCTCTCCAGGGGTGGTCCTGAAGGGGTTTGGCAGCATGACTGTCACTAGTGACATTGTCACAGTTACCTTTGTGGATGCTCCTCAGGCCTTTAAGCTTGGGATGAGCTACAGAGGAAAGGTAATAAAGGAAGAAAACTTTTTAAAACTTTAGATAATGTGGAAAGCTTTCGTTTACAGACCTTTAAGGTCAACGTATGACAATGCTGATGTTTATTTGATGTTGCAGTTAAGCTTTTTTCCAGTCGTCGTATTGTCATGCCACTGCATGTTGCTATTAGATTTTTTTTTATTTTTTTTTATTAAAAACTCATTGGTATATCAATAAAGTCACATGGTTAAAGATTAGCATTGGTTTGATCTAAATAACTGACATTTGTCCCACCTTGATTTATTAAAGCTCATCTTTTGGTTTGTTTGTTTTTCAGTCTGTGTTGATGATGTTTGTCTCCTGTTTTATTAGGTTAAAGCTACTGGTCCAGACTCCAGTCCTGTCGAAGGTGCACCAGTGTTTCTAACCGTGAGGTACGGCGGAAACAAAAATGTGACCTGGACAGTAGTCACAGATGTCAACGGTACTGCCCCCTTCAGCCTAAACACACTTCTGTGGGGGTCAGAAGCAGTTTCTTTGGAGGTGAGTGAGTTTTTAGTTCTTCTGGCTGATGTTAATTACATGGTGTGACTGTGACACTCACTCTACAGCTTCATTGTAGCTTCATTGTGAAAGGCGCTGGCCCCCTTAAATGGCCAGGGCCCACCAGCAGGCCCAAAGTTTTAGTACACACTTCTATAATCTAAGAATAGCTCAGCCAGTTTGCACTGAAGTCCCTGTGGTTGCTGAATAATAAGCCTTAGTATTTAATAAGCCTGAGATTTTAAGGGGTTGAACTCTGTACTGTTCTATATCTGCTCTGTGGTAACTCTACACTTCACTACTCTGTACTACTTTTAGACATAATTCTATATTTTTTATATGTTTATGTATATATATATATATATATAAAATGTGTGTATGTATTTTATATAATTCTATATTTGTTATATTGTGGGTTGGCGAGGAATAAGACACTGGAGACATGGCACATACGGGCAAGTGCTCTTTTATTGAACATCAACTACTCCACAGCCCATATAGCACCAAAACGGGTTCTTCTATTGTTGCAATATCAACCTTGTAACAACAGAAGAGCCCTTTCTGGTCCTATATAGAACCCTTTTCAAAATGATTCTATATAGAACCATATACAACACATTTCCCATCAATCTGAAAACCACTTCACTATGCAAAGAACCCTTCAATCATGTAAAGGGTTCTTTGAGTGTTCATGGTTCTACATAGAATCATTTTCTCTACTAACGAGCCCCTCTTTTTTAAAAGGTGAATAAACATAAGAATCCATGATTTGTTGATTCTCTTGAACCTTTATTTTACTGACAAAAGTACAAAGAAATGCTTTTGAATGTTTTGGCTGACCCACTTGATCATATTTTATAAATATAAACAAATTTTGAATTTGATTTTACAGAACTTTTCAGAAATAGTGTTTGTATTTCTGTCTACATGTTTATGAGTTGCATGTAGATAATTGACGAGAACAGAATTGTCCTTGGTGCCCGTAGTGTTTTGCCTTAATGTACGTTTTCTGTCCTGTTTCTAACTGCAGTTTATACAGCAGCGTTCCAGGGCACCACATCTTAACACGTTTTTCTTCTGTTTTCTTAAACAGGCTTCATATCAAAAGGTGCAGGAACAGCATGTAAGCACTGCGCATACCGAACTATCCCACTGCATACTACTGGGTCCAGCTGTGCTGAACCTGCCGTTGTGGAGGCTCAGTACATCATACAGGGCAAAGAGATTAAACCAGGCCAGCGGTCCCTGGACTTCTTCTACATGGTACCTGCTAAAGGAATGTTTTTACATATATCTTCCAAATATGTATCAAATTTCAGATTTACAGTGTGTGCGCCCTCATCTTTTTTTTTTTTTTAAAGTGTGTTCTCTGTAGGGGATGTCTGCATATTTGCATAGAATTTTAACATGTGGACGCATATATGAACATGTATTGCTGTGTATTTAAAAGACACGTAAATATTTATAGCATATTTAGGATATTCATCTATTTTTAAAAACACATATGTTGCACATATACTGCAAATGAATTATTAACATGAGCAAACTGTTGGTACAGTGGGAACAAACCTTATATCTCCATAAATATATATATATATATGACAGGCTCAGTCAGCCGTGCCAGAATGTCATGAAGAACAAACCAGTATTGGATGGAATGATCCAATGAATTTTTTTTTCCGATTAGTTTTTGGGAGATGTGAGTTTTTGTTCCCCCCTAGAATGAGTGTATATATTGCTGTACATTGGATTAACAGCTTGAATAACTGATTAACTCTTTACTTTTACTTTACTTGTTTGTGCAGGTGATGTCTAAAGGCAGCTTGGCTCAGTACGGACGTCTTTCAGCAGCCATGAATAAAGGAACAGGTCTGTTTAACTCACTCTTCATCCATAACAAGATATTATAACATTTAACATGAATAAATGCTGGATAAATGAATAAATGCTGAAGAAATCCGATACATTATTACCCCATTAGCAGGCCGGTGTGTTCGTTTGCCATTGTGTTAACTTATTTCTACTTAGAAAAAAACGTCATTTGAGCAGTGGCGCATAATCTTTTGCACAGGACTATACATACTGTGTATCTCCCTCACTTTCTGTCTTGACAGTGAACAAAGGGAAGCTAACGTTTTCACTGCAGAAAGTGGGTGCTTTGGCTCCGCGTGCTCAGGTGGTGGTGTACACTGTGCTCCCGAGCGGAGAGGCCGTGGCCGACAGCAGGGATTTCCCCATTCAGCTGTGCCTGACCAACAAGGTGAGGACAGGAAATTCAACACTCTGATCAGATTACTTGTCTTACAAAAATTGCTAGATTATTCTGTTCATTTTAAAAGGCCAGTATCATGGAACCACAGGAGTCCTAAAGGGCTATGGTGCTGTGCTAAATATCTACTATTTCTCGTTTTGAACTGTTGTATGAATATTAGAACATTTCTAAACATGTTAGATTTGTTTTAAAAAATTAATGTAGCTTTTTTTTTTCATTTGCAAATATTGTAGCTTATTTCAAGAAATAATGCAGATAATTGTGTGTTTTTATGGAACTATGCTTTAAACAAGTAGAGTTGTAGTACAGTCTGCTCTTTCTTGTGGTTCCTCAGGTGTCTTTGACGTTCCCCTCTCCTACGGAGCTCCTGGGGGTCAGACGTCCCTCATCCTGAAAGCTCAGCCCGGGTCCCTGTGCTCTGTGAAGGCCAGAGAAGGAACTGAACCTTGAATTTGTACGTGTTTTATGTTGATTGCAAACCGAATCAGATGTCTTTACGGTGGTGGTGGTAGGATTCCACATGAATAATTCAGTGGTGTTGAGATGTAAACAATGTCATTCAGAGTGGTTTGGTGTGAAAAAACTGATTGTAGAGACTCAGATGTCTTTACAGTGGTGGTGATAGGAACCAGGGGTCACCATGACTGCAACACAAATATAGACATTTTATTTACTATCAAAACCACCAGTGAACCTACACGAGTCTTCTATGAGTTTTTATATAGAAATGTTGATAATGGTACAATTTTGCAGCACAACACTCTGCATGTATAATAGGGACAACACTCTGCATGTAACCTTCTGCCATTAATGTATTCAAATAAATGGATTAAGAAGACGTTTTAGGCCAAAACTCTATCACAAAACTATCGATTAACAATGTTTTAGGCATCAGGCAGTGTATACCTAACCGTTTTGTATAATAACTTTCTGTGAGGGACCTTTTAGAGGTGATAAACCCCTCAGACATCTGGTTCCTATCACCACCACTGTGAACAGTTCTGACTCAGTAAGTTTCTCTAGAACAGAGCGTTTCACACCAAACCACTCTGAATGTCTGAATGACTCAGTGTACATCTTAACAATTTAATTTTGTGGAACTTGGTGGAGTTCCCCTTTAAGTCCAAATGATTCATTTTTCAGCATCAAGAAAGCAGAAAACAAAAATATAAATATTGAGAAATTGAGATAATGTAACTAAACAAATAAAACTGAAGGAATATCTTTGAAAAATAATTTTCAAAATGTTAATAGTAGAAATACAAATGAGGAAAAGTTAGGACACCACCACATTCATTACTACCTAAAATACCTAAAATTAAAATGAGGTGCACGTCATCAGCTGCAAATGATTGGGACATCGTTAGAGAGGATTTGTCTCATTAAAACCTCAGACATTTAGTTTGATTTGCTCTTGATTGCCGAAGCGAGTGGTATCACCATAGCGAGATCCAAAGAGCTCTTTGAGGCAGTCAGAAAGAAGGTTGTAGAGTCTGAGAAGATATTCAAAAAGTAACAATTACAAATCGGCCTTTCCACTGTCCCGAAAATAATAATAACTGCCAGCATGGCCAGGCAAGTTCAGCCTCAAATCTTAAACAGGCCTAAAATGTCATCACAGGACCTACAGGTACACATGACAGTTGATGTCAAAGTACATGCATCCACCATCAGAAAAAGACTGCACAGGTTTGTTTTTTTCGGAGAGACGTGCAAGGAGGAAAGCCTTGCTGTCAAAAAAACCCCAAAAACATCAGGGCACCTCGAAAAAGAACAGGACGTCTAGAACACTGTGCTTTGGACAGATGAATTTAAAGTTTAATTATTTGGGCACAGTAACAGTAACAGAGGACAATTTTGGTGCAAACCAAGCACAACATTTGAGCACAAGAACCTCATACAAATGTTGAAGCATAGAGGTGGAATTGTCATGGTTTGGAGCTGCTTTGCTGCAGCAGAGCCTGGCAAGCTCTCCATCATAGAATCCACCATGAATTCTTTATTGTATCAGCAGGTGTTTGAGGAAAATGTGAGACCATCTGTCCAAAAACTGAAGCTGAAGCAGAGTTGAACCATGCAACATGACAATGACCCAAAACATCCCAGTAAATTCACAAAGAAATGGCTCAAAAGAAAGAAATGGAGAGCTTCGGATTGACCAAGTCAAAGAATTTTAATTCTATTGAGGTGCTGTGGGGTAATTTGAAACAGGCTGTGCACACCTGAAAGAATTCTGCATGGAGGAGTAGGAAAATGTTTCTCCCAGTCGATGTCGGAGACTATTTGAGGTTGTTTCCCAGCTATTAGGGCATAGGGTGTCCCAACTTTTTTCTCAATAGGAATTTCTTTTCATCTTTTTTCATTTTTTGTTAGATAAATGATAGCAAAATCAAATTTTCATTGTTTTTTCAAAGATGATGCAATTACATTACTTTCATCTATAGATATTGTAGATGGAAGAAGATAAAATATTGATATGGCCACATTTCTTAACAAAGAACTAAATATTTAATGGGGTGTCTGTCATTTTTTCACTTGACTATATACTCACACATTGAAAAAAGTTTTAATTCTTTTTTTTGTTGCTTGCAGCTACAGAAGTGGGTTTAGTGGAGCGTGATGATTGGTTAGTGAGGCACTGACTTGTGTAGACGCCCTCTGCATCACAGAATACTGCATAGCATGACAGATTTTTAGGCCAAAATGACTAATTAACCTCCTAAAATCTCAGATCCATTAGTAGTAAGGCATATTATGCAATAAATACAGGGACTTCAGTGCAAGCTGACTGAGCTATTCTTAGGTTATAGAAGTGTGTAATAAAATGCTGGCCCCTTAAGGGTTTAGGTAAAAACAGAAAACCGACAAAAGCAGCAAATACAAGTGCTTTGGGTATATTTATCTCTAACAATAAGCTTAATGCTCATCACTACCCTGTTCTTCAGTGGTCAGGACCCCCATGGACCCTCACAGAGCAGGTACTATTTGGGTGGTGGATCATTCTCAGCATTGCAGTAACACTGATGTGGTGGTGGTGTGTTAGTGTGTGTTGTGCTGGTCTGAGTGGATCAGACACAGCAGTGCTGCTGGAGTTTTTAAACACCTCAGTGTCACTACTGGACTGAGAATAGTCCACCAACCAAGAATATCCAGCCAACAGCTTCCTGTGGGCAGCGTCCTGTGACCACTGATGAAGGACTAGAGGATGACCAACACAAACTGTGTAAAAGGAGGCTAACAAAGTAAGCAGAGAAACAGATGGACTACAGTCTGTAACTGTTGAACTACAAAGTGCACCTATAAAGTAAGTGGAGCGAATAAAATGGACAAAGCATAGAATGAACGTAGAAACAAGGAGGTGGTTATGATGTTATGCCTGATCAGTGTATGTTCAACAGCTACAGGGACTTCAATTCACATTTTAATACACATTTACTGTTTAATGGCTGAATTAAACCTGTGGGTAGCGCTGTCACCTCACAGCAAGAAGGTTGTGGGTTTGAGTTTGGCTGGACGTCTGGGGTCCTTGGTGGAGTTTGTCTCCCCGTGTCTGCGTGGGTTTCTTCCCACAGTCCAAAGACATGCAGTCAGACCAATTAGACTTGCTAAATTGCTCCTAGGTGTGATTGTGTGTGTGAATGTGTTGGTCTGTCTGTCTGTCTGTCTGTCTCTCCTGTGATGGACCAGGGTGTCCAAGGTGTTCCTTGCCTTCCACCCAATGATGGCTGGGATAGGCTTCAGCTCCCCCCACAACCTAGAAGGAAAAGAGGTTTAGAAAGTGTGTGTGTGTGTGTGTGTGTGTGTGTGTGTGTGTGTAAGCATAAAAATGGCCTTTTTCCCCTAATGTGTTAAATTTAGTAAATAAACAGTAATTGTGTATTTAAATGTGTAGAACTGAGTTCTCTGTAGAGGACATGTTCACTTATGCTCACTTTGAAAATCAACAACATATCATTTAACCAGGGCCGTCAAACATCTTCATGCGAGCGCACTGAGGAACTCTGTCTTCTTTCTGCAGGAGACCTGATGGGCCGTGCTCTGAGGAACATCGACCGTCTGCTGGCCATGCCGTACGGCTGTGGAGAACAGAACATGCTGCTCTTCGCCCCCAACATCTACATCCTCCTGTACCTGCAGAGCAGCGGACAGCTGACCGCAGAGATCCGGAAGAAAGCTGAGACGTTCCTCGTGAGCGGTGAGGAACATCTCGGATTGATTTGAGATTTGAGGCAGCATGAGATTCATTTCTGCACTTTCAGTCTTTTCATCCATTCCTTCATGACTGTTATCTAACTTTCAGAAGACTCAGTTATTAGAAATTCATTACAACATTAATGATTTAATTTGATTTGTTAAATGCCGGTTATAATTTTAAATGAATCATTTCTGACTCATAGCTCAAGGAAACAAGTGGAGAAATTGTGTGGAAAGTGCAGATTGTACACTTTCAATCCATAACTCGTTAGTGGAGATATTTAATTATGGTGTGAATTTGATGAAAAGTTATTGTTGTGTTTACAGGCTTGTTTTAGAGAAAAAATGTCCATGTGGTGCTTTCTTTAACAGTCCCTAAAGTTCTTGGTATTAATCCAGTAAGTGTGAGAGTACTAGATAATTATATTGGGTGACATATTGGTAACTTCCAAGACAGTTTATTAAATTAATCAGAAGTACCAAAGAGGTTCTAGATATTAAGTGGGTAAGTGTGGGGTACAAAAGATCATTATTTTGGGTAAAATGGGTAAGCACCCAGGCAACCAGTCAGGTTCTTGATATTAAGAAGATAAAACAGTAAAATATCTCATAACTAAAAATTATTTGGAGTAATAAAGTGGCAAGAACAAGCAAACACACTGAATTTCAACGTAATCTCACACATTTAAGCAGGAAAGTAAATCACAAACATCTATAAATGGCACAGCCACCAGTAAAACTATAGGATCATTGCTTTCCGTTACAGTCCAGATTCACTTTCAGTTCTAGGTAACAGGCTCTTATGTCTTTGTACCACCTTTTCCCCTCATTAGTTTGGTATTTCCCCACATAATTATTCAAATATGAAATATTTTATTTATATTTTACCTACTTTATAGCAAGTACCTGCATCCAGAGTAATTTAGTTAGACTGTCTGGTACCCCACCCACCCCCCACCCATTTTACTCAAAATAATTACCTAGTTCTTTTGGAGAACATATCACAGATTTACCTAGTGAATATCTGGAACCGTGGTTCTCAAACTGGGGGGGACCCTGAGGACCGGGATGGGAACCACTGATCTAGAACCTGTTTGCCATTTTAGTATAATTTTTGAAAACTTGTCTAGAGCCTATGTAGAACTTTGTAGACTGTGAAAGAAAGCATCACCAACATCAATTAAAAATTTGCCATTATTTTAATGTTTTTACATTGAAAAACAGAAATAACTGTAAACTGATGGATTTAATTATGTAATCATGTCATTGTGTTACTACAATTAAACAGTGCAGCCCAACAACATAATAACTCTGGACTCCTGAGGACTAAGCTGTCTGAGTCTCTTTTACAGTGAATGAGCTGGTTTGCTTGTTTGTCTCGTGTCCTTTAGCGATCCGTCAGGCAACACCTGGTCAGTCTAGGAGCAAGAAAAGAAAACAATAATGCAGCTGACATAAGATACTCAATACATCAGGCCTTGTTTTGCTCTTTATTAAGAAGCTTAAAAATAGTAAAAAAGTACAGCAAAACAGGTTTAAAGTTTCTGAGAGTAAGTTAAAGTTCCTGAAGTTCAAGCCCAGACAGAGAGCTTTTGTTCTGCTAAAAATCTTATTCAGGACTAGACTAAGTTCTACACAAACACACAGTGCTCAATGATGGTTGATTTCTTTAACCATAAATCAATAGACGACACACAGGAAGGTTTAGGATTCCTCTGGTCTGTGTCCTCAGGTTAACAGCATTTGTGATGAAGTCCTTCGGAAGTGCAAAGCAGTTCATCTTTATAGATCAGCTGTATGTGGACCAGGCCAAGACTTGGCTGGGTCAGCAGCAGCAGAACGGCTCCTTCGCCTCAGTGGGTCAGCTCTTCCACATCGACATAAAGGTCAGGCCTTAACACAGCTGCTGCAGTGCATTATTAACCAGAGTGGGGTTGCAAGGTGCTTTATTAAAGGGGATTAAATTTCCCAAAAATTTTGCATAATTGAGTGTTCAGATGTAAACAAAGTCATTCAGAGTGGTTTGGTGTGAAATGGTTCAGATGTCTTTACAGTGGTGGTGATAGGAACCAGGGGTCACCATGACTACAACACAAATATAGCCATTTTATTTACTATCCAGAACCACCATCTCTGTATCTTTCTATCATAACTATTTCTTACATAGCTTTCTGTGAGGGAAATTAAATGCTATGTGTGATGATACTTTTGTGTAGAACTGGTGAGCTTTTGGTATCACTTGTAAAATTACAGGATGTTTGGTAGAGAATGATGGTGTTTGGTGAAGAATACAAGTGTTTGATGGAGAATGCAGATCTTTGTTGGAGAATAATGATATTTGATAGAGAATGTGAGTGGTGAAAAATGATGGTGTTTGTTGGAGAATGTGGGGTTTTGGTGAAGAATGATGGTGCTGGCGCGATGCCTTTTGTTAGAGAATGTGCGTGTTAGTTGGAGAATGCAAATCTTGGTTGGAGAATGCAGGTGTTTGTTGGAAAATGAGTGTGTGTTGGAAATTGATGGTGCTTGATGGAGAAAGGTGGTCTTTGTTGAAGAATGTTTGTGTTTCTTTGAAGGAGAACAAAATTATTTGTTGGAAAATGTGGTTTGAGAATAATTGTGTTTGATGCAGAATGATGTTTTTTTGGAGAATGATGGTATTTGTTGGAGAATAGGAGTGTTTGATGGAGAATGTTTACTTTTGATGGAGAATGTGTTTATTGAATTCAAAATGTTGATTCCCAGTTTGATTACTTTTTTAAGGTGTTACAAGCCTTTTTTCTTTTGTGTGTTGCATGATGATTGGCCACATAGGGGCGCCATCCTGTATAAAAGAGGCTGCCAGGCCACTGTCTGGAGACGTTCAGAAGTCTTTCCCCTCTGATGTGACCATGAAGAACACCTGTCCAGACTAGTGCGACTTGCCTTGTTAAATTGATGAAAGCTCTGTTTGATCTTGTGAAACTGTAAATTTTTGGGAAAAGTTGGAGATGAGCACCATTTGTTTTAACCACATTTTCTCCTGGTTTTAAACGGACAGTGTTGGGGGTGTTTTGTATTTTCTTTGGTTTTGTTTTCAGGTTTAGTTTGTAAAACCCTTAGTTGTTTTGTTTACTATTTACTGTCCCTGAAGCTACACCTTCCCATCCAGCTCAACCTCTTGTCATTTAGCTCTTTTAAAAAATGCATGATGTGGTTTCTTGTGAAAATGGTGTCCAGTGTTTGGTCTGTCAGCAGGTCTGGGCAGAGAGCCCACTCTCATTTGATGTTATGGCCTAGATGGGGTCGTAAAAGAATTGGCGGCTCTTTCGGGAACATCAAAACATCCTGTTGTCCACTGTGTGGACAGTAACGGTGTTTGGTGGAGAATGTTTGTTCAGTAAGGCTTTATTATATCCCTCTCAGCAGGCGCGCGTCACTGGAGAAGAGAGAGTGATCTGAAGGTGTTGGACTCTCTGGAGGTGGAGATGACCTCGTATGTGCTGCTGGCTCTGCTGTCTGGACCGGTGCTACAGACCTTTGATATGAGCTACTCTGCTTCCATCGCCCGTTGGCTGGCCCAGCAGCAGAACACCTTTGGAGGATTTGCATCTATACAGGTATGTCCTATCCACTCCTTGACCACAAAGCTCTGCATTTATATGGACCTGTTCCAAATGGTCACCTCATATTTAACACTTGTTTTTTGAGTTACTCAATTGTTTTTGTAGTTACTGTCACTATAGTTGTAGATTGTAGGTAATTTTGAGAAAGATGTTCTGTAAACTTCAAAAACACACTAACAATGTTTTGGTTCTCTTTCCACTCCATCCCTCTGACCAGGACACTGTGGTAGCTCTGCAGGCTCTGGCAAAATACAGTGCTGCCACCTACAGTCCAGCAGGCACCGTTGTGGTCACTGTGACCGGCCCGTCACCTCCAAAGGTATTTACAGTCAGTCAGAGCAACAGGCTGCTGCTGCAGGAGTCCAGCCTGCAGGTCGTGCCCGGAGACTACAAGGTCAAGGCTGAAGGCAACGGCTGCGTGTTTGCACAGGTCAGTCTGTCTCCATTTCTCTACTGAAAGATGATGATGATGCACCTCTTTTCTGTTCCACTTCTTTGACCTCTAATTAAACAGGCTCTTGTGGGCTGTTTCTGCTGGACGGTTTATCATATATATATATATATATATATATATGTATATATATATATATAGCCTCACCATTCATCATAAAATATTTTCACAATATAGAAGTCAGCTGATATGTTTAAAATAATGATAGTATGATGGGAACTTGATGATGAATGGAGCGTAACTTAGGTACTGATCCTTTTTTCTTTTTCCAGTTCTCTGTGCGCTACAACATCCCTCCCCCAGCCGACTTCTCTTCTTTCAGCCTCTCAGCTAACACTGCTGGAAACTGCAGCATCCCCATCCCATCTGTAAGCCTGTCTGTGACTGTCAGGTGAGCTTTACTTCGTAATAATAATAATAATAATACTATGGTGTGTGTTTTAACATCCTTCAGTCAAATTACGTTTTGTTGGTGATTTGTGAAAATTTTCTGGTAATTTTATTGCACATATATACATACAAACATCTAAGCACTTTAATGGAGATAAGAGTATTTGTTGCGACAACCTTCTACCTCCAGATGTGCTTTTAGTGCCACCTGCCATCAACAAAAGCATGTAAAGACTATAGAACGCAGCTGCAGCGGACCATGTTTGAGTGTTTCACTGTTTATCTGCTGCTCCTCAAACTGTTTGAACAATCGTTTCTCATTTTTCTTATTATTCAGATGAAGCGTTAGTTTGACAGCTCATTCTAGCCCTATTTAATCTTTTTTATTTTTTTTCTGTAGCTCATCTGTTTATAATGTGTGTGTGTGTGTGTGTGTGTGTATATATATATATATATATATATATATATATATATATATATATAGATATATATATATATATATATATATATATATAAACATGTTTTAACCTTTCACAAAAAACAAGAGTATCCAAACCTTTGCACACTGTATGTGTGAGTTTGTGCATTGATGTATGACTCTTTCTCTCAGCTGAAAAAAGGAGACTCTAAGACATACAGTCTGGTCATCCTGTGCGAAACAGCCGTGCAGAACCAGAAACCGGCTGTGGTGAAGGTGTACGACTACTACGAGACCAGTAAGAACCACTTCATTACTCTTTATTAGCCATCACAGAGTTTACAGAGGAGACAGGATCAGCTACGTTTAACACACTCATGAGCTACTCTTCACATCTACCAGAACAAATACACAACAAGGCCCATCCTACATTAATGTACTGTTAACAGACACAATGCTTTAGGCCACTGAATAACATCATGTGCAAAACTGTAGACGGACGTACTGAAAACTTCAGCAATGTTACAGTAAATATTAATAATAAACGTTTAAATAAATGCAGATAAAACCTTTAAATAAAGGTTTTAATAAATGTTTTACATAAACCAACAATGGTGATTGTTCTGTGAGTGAATTCCAAAGCTCTCCTTGAGAAAGTCCAGTATTTACAGTCACCATCCAACACCTACAGTTTTGCATGCAAAAGTTAGAACACCCCCGATCACATGACGTTTTTGTTGAAAATGTGTTAACACATCCACTACAGACAACACACTTCTGCACGTTTTAATGCACACTTTGTGTTTGTTTGCTGAATTCAAGATTATTTGTAAAATATAAAACATAAAATGTGGCCTGTGCAAAAGTTATGGCACATTCTGTACTGTAAGTTTTAGTTTTTTGTCCAACTCAGCAAATAAATTGAAACTGTGTGCGGAAGAAAGTGCAGAAAAATGTTATATTTAAGTTTATTCCCTGTAGAGGATGTGTTAACTTATTATCACTTAAAAAATTTCATCATTTGACCAGGAGTGTTCTAACTTTTGCATAAGACTGTGTGCTTTTTCATATTTACTCTGTTTAACTGGTAAAAACACACTCACTGTGCAGATAAGTGAACTATGCTGTATAAGACCTTTACAGAGTACATATTCATCTATAAGAATATCTGTAAGAAAAAATTCTGAAACATGATGTTTAATATGTTTAGTATGCAGGTTTTGGGTATCGTGAAGTAAAAAGGAGGGAAGCATCCAATTAGGATCACAATACTCTGCTTATGCTTACTGTAACAGCAGTAATGGGGGTATCCTTATAAAACATGCTTTATTGTCCCCCTGGGGAATACTATCACTAGGCCGTGGACCACTAGTGGTCTGTGGTGGTCTTCAGGCCAATCCTGAAGGGGGAGCCAGTGGTCTGTAGTTGGCCAGTGATGGCGCCATAAGAGAAATATCTGTGATCGGACAATCTGATATTTAAGCTGTTGCCCAAAGTGTCAGTGTCAGCGCTGAAGAAATAAAAAAATAATAAAAATAATCAAAAGTTTTGCTTTCCTGTGGGCCTTGAGGAGGTGAGGTTTGAGAGCCTGTCACTAAGCTCTGTATAAAAAGCTCTTTGTCGCTGTTAAAGCCACTCTGAGAGCGTCATAAGGACATAATTTTGCTAGCTGGGCATCATTTCACAGCTCACACAAACGTAAGAAGGAAGAGTTTATATGTGTTCATTAACCAATAAGAATAAGTTTTTTTCAGTCCAGTAGGAGTGGAGCAAGATGATTGAGGATTTGGGACTGGTGAAGGAAAAAAAAATAGAAGCAGGATATTCTGGACATATACACTATCCATATATATATATATATATATAACTACAGCTAGGTTTGGCTGTGCAGATTTTAAGAGAGAAAGTGAAAAGGTCTTTATTCTGACAGAGTTGCGGTGAAGAGTTGGATAGATTTAAATAAAAACAATAAAAACAACTTGTATGCCAACAGTGTGTGTGTGTGTGTGTGTGTGTATATATATATATATATATATATATATATATATATATATATACATACATACATACACACACACATCCTGTACAGTACTGAATTACATTTACTTCATTACTGTCCACCACTGAGATAGATCAGTGGTGGACAGTAATGAAGTAAATGTAATTCGTTACTGAACTTAGTAGTTTTTTCTTGTATCTGTACTTTACTGAAGTTTTTCCATTTTGGGCGACTTTTTCCTTTCACTCCACTACATTTCAAAGTCAAATATCTTACTTTTTACTCCACTACATTATGAGAAATCTGACATTCATTTGGCTTATGTGTGTATAAAAACATAACATCTTTTAAAACGAAAGAAGCGTGAAGCAAGAACACCAATCAGGGTACAGAGCACGCTTTGTTTTGAGCTTGTTTTGACCTATTGGACATACCGACCAAGTACAAGCACGTAGTTCAACGAGGCATTTTAGGGCCAGAGTTCATAAAAATAAAAATAGTAGATTTGAGGAAAAAAGTCGTAATATTTGGAGGATAAAGTGGGCTAACTGTAGGGGGCCTAACTGTGGGGGGGCTGCCATAACGCATTTCGGTCTCGGTTGCTGTACTGGCGCCGGAGCTCCACTCTCTCCTGTCTCTCTGTGGATCATTTTGATCATCATTCTCACTGTCTGTGAAACTACATGCCCTCTTTGAATGGTGCGGAGATGTAGCCCCCGATAGCCGTGTAGACGACCCTGCCTGCGATTCTCCTTCAACAACACAGACAGACAGTTTCCTCCGAGTCTGTCTGGCTCTTTATTCTAGATAAACACAGTTTCCTGCTCAGCCGTTTCAGCTGTTTCTTGGAGCTGCTGTGCAGGAGAGACAGGGAGACTGAGTATTTCTTTATGGGTCAAATTCGATATGAAAGTATAACTCCACCAACTCCTCAATGCCCCTCACTTTAACATGAGGAGGTGCTGCCTTCCCTTTACAAAGACTTTGGCCACAGTATTGTGACCTTACTGCCACTTTAATGTTGTAATTCTATGACTTTTTTTTCTCAAAATATTACGACTTTATTCTCCAAGTCTACTATTTTTATTTTTATTAACTGTAACGGGTTTTGCAATTTTTAATGTTATTATTGCTAGAACCTTACGTGAGGGTGTGGGGTAACCCGGATTTATTTGAAGTCTACAGACCAGGGCAAGAGAGAGAAACGCTCGCACCAAGGATGCTTCAGAAAAGGGAATTTATTGGCTAAATATCAAACTACTTTGGACTACATTCAATGATAAACAATAGAAAATAAAAACAGAAAGCAAAACAAAACAAAGTGATAGTAATGAAAGACAAAAAGACAAAATAGCTCGAGTAAGTTAGAGTGATTCACGGCTAAATGGTATGAGGTAGTGTGGTTTTGGGAAGTCTTTTGGGAGCGCCTCTAGTGAATTAACCTAAGCATGGACGGGAATAACTATATGGCTGGATGTACCTATTAAAAGTTCTCTCATTAAATAAATTAGCGTCAGGGCCCTGACTGCAAATTGATGGAACCAGCTTACGTTGGAGTCGGGGGCTGACTTCAGGAGGGGTCGTCTCAGAACAGACTCGATCGAAGGCTGGAGCTCACGCGGTGGTTCCTCTCCTCGCTGGCCGTGGATGCTGCATCTCCGTGCAGGCACCCGCCTTTCCATCAGTGATTGGGCGGAGGCGTCTTGTGGCTGTTTGACGGTGGAGCTTGGGCAGCCTTTCGATGGTTGATCTGGGTGCGATGCTGGGTCTCCGTGGCGTCAGAACCGCTCCCACTCCGCTGGCGAGGTTCAGGTTGCAATCAGGGTTCTGAGGCTGGTGATACTAATTTGACTAACTACCTCTCTTTAGCAGAATCGAAAGTGATGGATATATCCTCCCTGGCCAGACAAGAAATATCCACCTTCCTTCTCTGAGGGTGGTTTAAACTTAAGGTGTGTAGACGAACAGGCAAGTTACAAAACAAACAAAGGTTTCAGATCTGAAAATTTAGCGTACGAATACTTCTGACCTGTATTTCTGACCAAGGCCGGCACAAACTTAGAAATTTAGCTATCCTCTTGTTGAGAATGGTGCACTCTGATTTTGCTCAGCTGGAGGCCCTACCCTTTGGAGGTGGAGCCAGAGTGCTGATAGGTTCTCCTCACCTAAGGTTAACTAGCTACTCATTGTTTCCAACTCTGATTGGTTGTGCATAATTTTAGGAATGCCTTCCCCAGAATCACTGCCTTCTTTGTTTCAGCTAGTTTAAACAAAGAAAAAGAAACATTCCTACATCATCAAATTGGTTTAACTTTCAAAATCAAGGAATGAACAACTAGGATATTCAGGTATATTTCTAAGAGAGAGTTTAACCTTTTAACCCTTGTTACCTGATACACAATATATGTTAAAGAACACAGGTAATATTTGCCTACAATATCTGAATATGACCCAATTCATGAAGAAATAAAATCGACAATAAAAGAAAAGGAACAAAGGAAGAAAAGAAAAGAAAAGAAAACCACATTCAGGACACATATTGGTCAGTGGTCTAAACTCATAGCAATTAAATGGTTGGGTCTGTCTGT